CGTGGGGGGGTCTTCGAGCGGGCGTGTCCCAGGCGCGGGCGCGAGGGCAGTCGCGCTCTGCGCGTCGCGACGGGGGCCGCGCGAGGGCGCGGAGGCATTTCGGGGAGGGAGAAACAAAAGTTCGGGGCGGCCACTCGGGGAGGCAACTCGGGGAGGCAACTCGGGGAGGGAAGTTATTGATGGGCGTGTTTCCCCCCACCACCACCACCACCAACCCACCACCACCACCCACCACTGCACCACCACCACCAACACCACCACCACCACCACACCACCACCACCACCACCACCACCACCACCACCCACACACCAACCCCACCACCACCACCACCACCACACACTACAAGTTGGAGGGGGAGGGGGTCCGCCTCTACTCCTTTCCTCTTCCTCTCCTCCTCCTTCTCTCCCTCCGCCTCCCCCTCCTCCTCCTCTTCGTTCTCCTCCTCTTCGCCCTCCTCCTCCTCCTCCTCCTCCTCCTTCCCCCCTCCAACTTATGGTGGTGGTGGTGGTGGTGGTGGTGGAAAACAGGCCCATCCAGAGGTATCGATGACACGCGGCCGTTGGGAGCCCGTCAGCGTGTTACTCCCCCTTCTGTTTGGTCCGAAGACGCGGGTGCTTGTTCAACAGTGACACGCCGACGGCTTCCCCACGGCGGCATGTCGTTGATATTGCTCCCGATCCCTGAGTAGCCACGCATCGCTCGGCGCGACGCGCCAAATTGGGCGACCTCGAGTGGGGCTCGAGCAGCCCGTTCTTGGCACAGGATCAGCGCGCATGACCTGTGCGCAATTGGCTTTCCCGTGTGGGCCAGCGGGGCTGCAGCACGACTTCAGGGCCTCACCACGGCTTGGGACATACGGCGTCACGTTGATGTGGACGCACGGATCTGTCACGTTATGCCTTCCCAGACACAGGATGCTTGCGGCATGGCGTGCGCTGCGCGGTGGTAGTACGTGTTTGTGGACTATATCTGGGTTCTGATGTTTTGGTCTGTATAGTAGATTGCAGATGTCGAGGATACCTGACGGCACGTCATCGCGTCATCGGCCGCCGCCTCGACGTGCAGCATTTTCCTTGACGGCCTCGCATGTGGCCTCTGAAGGTTCTTGCGTGGCCACGAGGGTCTGCGAAGCGTGTCTGAGCTCCCATAGCCATTCGCTGCCAGAAAAGCGCATTTGCCAGAGCGTAGGGCGGTTGAGCAAGAGGCCTGAGAGTGGTCAGGGTACCTAGGCTTCTAAAGTATCCGCAGGGGTCTCGTCGGGCGCTCGAGGCTTCTCCGACATCTCCCGCGTCATACTTGGAGCGTTACGTAGTCCGTTCTGAAGTTTCATGGGACATCCCCCACTTAGCTCACCCCCCACTTAGCTCACCCCCCATGACCACCCGCCCGACTGGAATCTCGTGGGACATCCCAGTGGCCGATCATGGGGCTTCCCAGGAGCTTCATGGGCATCTCCAGACCTGCCTGGTGCCTCCCACCTTTACTTCAAAAGAGAACAAGCACCCCGTAATTGGCGTTGACTACACGTCCATGGGCGTTTACTAAGCCCTGTCCTGTTCGCGTGCGTTTACTGAACGTCTTCGCTTGTCGGGGTGCTTTTATGAGGGTGGTTGTTCTGCCTTTAATGTGCGCCCCCCCCCGGGATGCAGGCCTGCCACTGGCATCCTAAGGGCTTCAAGGCTCCTTCCAGGGGCCTCCCAGGGCTCCCCACAGTCTCCCGAGGTCTGCGGGGGCGCTGCCTCTTCCAACCGTTTTTTATGTTTTTTTTTGGGGGGGGGGGTCAGAGGCTTCCGGACAGATTCTCTTCGCCACGAGCAGGGGGGGAGGGGGGACGGGGAAGGCTTCTTAGAAGCACCCCTGCATCTTAGGAGGCGCGGGCCTGGTCCATAGATGTAGGGCCGGCGCCCTCTGAGAACGAAGAGGCCTTCCCCCCTGACCCTACCCCCTCGTGCGCGCCGCCAACTCTCGCAGGCTTGCCGTGAGCCCCCCAGGAGCCTCTCAGTCAAGCCTGTTGTTTGGTCGGCCAAGGAGCCAAGAAGCTCGGCGAAGGAACCCTGTGCATACACGCCGCAGCGTCGCACGAGCTGGGAGATTGGGGCGTCTATACACCGAGCTCTTTAGCCGACCCGACGACTATGTATACTTTGGGCCCCTCCCAGCTTCCCAGCGGCTTCCTGGGCTTCACTGGGCGGTCTCCAGGGCCTTCCAGGGAGCCCCACGGGCTCCCCGAGCCCTCCCGGAGCCTCCCGGAGAGGCCTCCCGGAGAGGCCTGGCGCAGTGTGGCGCAGCGTCGTTGCCCGCCTTGAGCGACCACTGGGCCGGGCCACCCGCCTTTTGTAGAGAGTGTTTTTGGTTACTTTCTGGGCCACAACACTCGTTGTGCTCCGCCTCCCCTCCCACCCCCCCCATGGCGTAACGCTCCCCCTCCCCCAGAGCGTCCCCGGCACGTCCAACATCACAGTCTGTGCTGCCAGATCCACACGGCGGGGGTGACGGTACTTCCTGCTCCCCCGTTCCTCCCCCCCCCCTCTCCCTTTTAAAACGTCCGCTATCGCCGCAAACATAACAATGCTCTCCTAGGTTTTCCTCCGTCCCTGACATCATCCTCGCGGTCGGGAAGCAAATGTGGTGGCGGAAGGCTCTGGGCAACCTTTGGCCTCCCAGGGCCCTAGCCACGCCCTGGGGCCGCCCTCGGGAACGACTCGGGACAAGTCCGCAGCCGTTGCGGCAAACGGCTGACTCGACCTCTGTGGCACAGATTTTGCCGCACGCCTGTGTTGCGTGATACACCATGCTGCGCCCGCTTTCGGCACCGTGTTTGGGTGTGCACTTCTTCGTGGGCAGCGAGGTGCACCTGCGACGTGCGCAGGACAGCACGGGGATCGACACGCGGCGACTGGCCCGCTGAACACGCTTTCCAGTCATGGGGTCGAAAATTTACGGGGCCGCGTTCCTCCAGGACCCTTCTCTTTCATGCTCATCGGTGCTCGGACGACGTTTGCGAGCTCTGCCTTGAGTGATTGACGCACTTCTCGCTTCGCGCGTTGCCCACAACTGCAAGCGACCTCACAAGCACACTCCTATCCCCGTGATTGGCGTCACCTTGACCCCGGCGCCGATCCGAAGGAGCCGCCCCCCAGCTGCTGGGGAGGACACCCCCGAAAATGTCATATCGGCCCCGGGCATGTCCTTGGGAACATGGATGAGCTCGAGGCTGGCCAGACAATCTTGCTGGTTGCTCCCCTGAGCAGCCGGGCGCTCTCGCCGCGATGACCGTGCGCGCCCTGCCCAGAGCTCGGTCGTATAGTTTTTTTGCTTCCAGCGCACGGTCCCCGGAAGTCGTCTTCTCCTTCCCCCCAGGACCCGTGTCGCATCCCGCTTCGTTTTCTGACGGTCTGGGGGCCCGGCGAGGTCCCCCAGAGGCCGCAATCTACGAAAACCCGCTGCGTCCAGTTTTTCCTGGATGCGCGGGAGCTCCTGGGCTCGAGGCTGGCCAGGCTGCTTTGCGGACCAGCCGAGCGCCCTCGCCGCACTGCCCGCGCGCGCCCAGGCGGGCCCAGGGCCAGGGTCCGTTCCTCTCGGAGCGCCCTGGGACGATCTCGGAGCGTTCCAGAGCGGCTACGCGCTGGAGCACTCACGACCGGCGGGAGTGTCCGCATTCGCGCCCTCGCGGTCTGTCAGAGGAGGGAAAGGTGCCCGTACCACAGACTACATTCTCATCGGTTTCCCCTCTTTGGGCCTCCTGGCAAGCCCTCCTCGCCACCGCTGGACTCGCCTCAAAGTTCTGGTCAGAACGCACCCCAGGAGAGGTCCAGGGAGTACCGGTATGGGTACCTTTTGGTTTCCCGAGTCTGGATTCCAGCGCGCGATCCCGCAGCTACGCGGTCGCGCGGACACGTCCTTCGCGGAGCATCTGCGAAACAGCGCCCCGTATCCGCGAAGTCGCCGCCCCGGGGCCAGGCCTGCGAAGCCGCAGATGCGGATATGTTTGCCGCCCACGAGATTCGATGATGCGCAGAGCCCTCCCGAACGACCGCAGCGCCCGATTCGATGATGCCCAGGATATGTTTACGATGCGACTCCTGTGAGGTCAACAGCAGAACCGACGCTGGTATATCCATTGTCGAAAACTTGCCCAATCTTGTTTAATCCCGCCCAATCCAGCTGAATCCTGTCTGATCTGGGCCTATCCCATGTAATACGGCTTAATCCTGGGCTTAATTGGCCTCATCGGGCTCTTTGGCTCCTGAATGAGGCTCGATCGCCCTTATTCTTCCTGACTGACGAAGACCTCCCAGGAGTTGCCTCCTAAAGATGGGTTGGCCGAATGTGAGTTTACCCCGTGTGCCTCTCATCACCAAGAGCTGCGCACGTAGGCGCCAGCACGCTCTGGGGATCATCGACCGTTGCGTCCTGCAGGGCCGCTGGAGGTCAGAGATTTTCGATTTGTCCCCGTCCGATTCTGTTCCAGCCTTGGCTCCGTCTCACAGGGAAGACGCCGAGGTCAGGACCGCTCGGGACTCGGCAGGGGCTCGCTGTTCCTCCGGCCGCGCCGTGGCCGTTCCTCCCGCCCCCTCTCCGTGCACCCGGGCTCTCCTGGTGCCAACACGGGGCTGCGTGCCCTGTCGCACGTGCCCTGTCGCATCTTGTGGGAGAAGATCCCGGGCAGGCTTGTCCGAGGGGGGCTGGCCGGAGTCCAAGGGGGGCTGTCCGGGGTCTGCTGTCGCTGGGATCGTCCTCCCCCTTGAACATCCAAGTGCTCCTCTCCGCGCAGCAGAGGACAACAATCTGGCCGTAAACGGGGGAGTGCCATGCCCCCTTGCGGCTCCCCTTGGTGCTGAAGCGATATCCCTCCTCCTCCTCCTCCTCCGACTTCCTGCTGCTCCTCCTTCCTGCCTCCTTCCATTTCCTCCTCCTCCTCCTCCTCCTCCTCCTCCTCCTCCTCCTCCTCCTCCTCCTCCTCCTCCTCCCCCTCCTCCTCCTCCTTGACTGCAGTTGTGCGCCGGCGCCCCCAGGTCCAGACGGCGGTCCTCGAGTCCCGGGTGGCGGGCGCGGCCGACCTGGACCGCGAGGCGGGGCGCCGCGCCCTCGCCGGGGGGGGCCCCCGCGGCGCCGCCCGGCTCCTGCCCTCCCCCCCCCTTCGTGCTCGGCGGAGGGAGGTCTGCCCGGACCTCCAGCGTGCAGCAAGGCGCTGCTGCGAGGACCGCCGGGGGCTCGGGAGGAGCTCCACGTGCCTGCTGGGTCCTTCCGTGGCCGTTCCTCTGCTCCAGAGTTCGTGATAAAAGGGAGGGGGTCTGGACCCTCCAAGGCAAGACAGCTCAGACCCCCCCCGTGGGAGAACCCTCCAAAACATCGTCCCCAGACCCCCCAGGCCCTCCAATATAGCCTGGAAGACCCCCGAAATGAGACCCCCTCCCTTTATTACGAAATCTGGAGTAGCTATCCTCGTGCACCCGAGAACTCTCGGGGCCAGAAAGGAGGTCCGTTCCTGATTCGGCGCTCCTGGTGTCAGCAGCCCGACTGCATGGGGCATTCAGTGCGGAGTGTTGATCACTGGAGATGTGTTCGGCTTCGGGGCACTCGGGATGCAAAGCTCTGTGAGCGCCGTAGTACGCGGGTGGTCTCGGGCCCGCCGCCCCGCTCTTGCCCCACGTTCTCCACCTCCCCTCTCTCCCCCGAGCTCAGACCGAGCAGCAGAGAGACGCCATCTTACGTGCTTGTGGGTGGTCTGGCAGTGCGGCCTTCGGCAGCAATCTGGCATGCGATCCGCTTCCTGTCCGCTTCCTCTCCTCTCGCTTTCGCGGTCGTTTAGATTTCGGATGGGCTCTCTGGCCTGGGCGGCTCGCTCTCTGATGCTGCTGCGCTCGGCGGTGGGCAATGATTGGCGGCCGCTTGGACCTGAACAAAAGCATGTCCTCCTTTCTTTTTGTTGGTCCCTCGCCCCCCCCCCCCCCAGGAGATGAAGCGCGAGGATGGCGGCGGCCAGAATGTTGAACAGGGGGGAGGGGTGCGGGAGCAGAACGCGGAGCCTGGAGAGGACGAAACACGGAGGAGGCGTGGGGCGGGGCCAGGTCCCCCCCCCCTGCGCCCCCCTCGCCTGGAAACGTTGGGAGCTGCCGTCGGCCACCCACCGAGCGCCACTTACACCTGTCGCGCTGTTTCCTCTGTGCTCCCCTCTTTCCTCCTCCTCCTCCTCCTCCTCCTCCTCCTCCTGCCCCCCCTCTTGTTCCTCCGCCTCCTCCTCCTCGTCCTCCTCCTGCTCCTGCTCCTCCTCCTCCTTTTCCTTTTCCCCCTCCTCCTCTTCTTCCTGCTCCTTCTCCTCCTCCTCCTCCTGGGGCGTAGTCCTGGGGGAAAGTCGGGGAAAGTCCTCCTCGTCCTCCTCCGCCTCCTCCTCCTCCTCCTCCTGCTCCTCCTCTTCCTCCTCCTCCCCCTCCTTCTCCTCCTCCTCCTCCTCCTCCTCCTCCTCCTCCTCCTCCTCTCCTCCCCCCTCCTCCTCCTCCTCCTCCTCCTCCTGCTCCTGCTCCTCCTCCTCCTCCTCCTCCCCCTCCATTATCTTTGTGTGCTCCGTCTGCGGCTGGCCTTTGTCCAGCGGGTTGTCTGGGCGCCGATCCCGTGACATTTGCATCTGCTCTTTTGCCCCCATCCACGGTTTCTGCTCTGGGCCTTGCCGGCCGTGCGCGCGGGGGTGTGGTGTGTGACATGGTCGGTCGGTTGGGGTCGTTGATCGGCGTTTCGCCTTTTCGATGGTTTGCTCCTCCCCTCCCTGCAGCCAAACGCTGCTCATGGGGGGGGGGCGCATCTGTAGGACAAACAGGTGGACCATGCAAACGTGAGGCCATCCCCATTAGCATGCCTTATGTCCTCTCCACGTCTGCGACACGGGTTGTTCTGATAAGGTATGTCTTGGCGGTTCGCGCATCCCCGCTAATCCAGTCACAATTGATCGCCAATCGAAGTGCCCTGATCCGGGTCGTGTGGCAGCATCAACATCCCCTTTTTCGTTTTGCCCTCCTTTCCCTCAATGCTCTAATTCTAATGTCGTGTGGCGTCGGTCGTGGACCCGTGGGGCTCTCGACCAGTCTGTTTTTGCGGCAGCTGCTCCGCTTCTCTCTCGAAACGTTCTCTTTCCGTCCTTCTCACGCGTGCCCTTTTTCGCCCCCCTCTCCACCCGCTCTTCGTTCCCATTCCCTCTTGTGCCAACCGGCCAAATTGTGAATGATGGTGCTCACGGCCGGCTGCCGGTATCTACGCACGCTGTTTGCGTTATCGTTTGCTGTGCCGTGTCGGCAGCCATCATTTCGCCTTCAAGACGATTCGCCGCCTTGTTGCCAGGAGGCCGACGCCAGACATGATGGGCCTGTTTTCCACCACCACCAGCACCATACGTTGGAGGGGGGAAGGAGGTGAAGGATGAGGAGGGTGAGGAGGATGAGGGGAAGGAGGAGGAGAAGGAGGAGTAGGAGGAGGAGGAGGAGGAGGAGGAGGAGGAGGGGGAGGACCCCCTCCCCCTCCAACTTATGGTGGTGGTGGTGGTGGTGGTGGTGTAAAACAGGCCCATCAAGACACGGTCAGTTGATGTAGGACGCAGGAATGTGGCGGGGGGGGGGCGGAACAATTTCGCCACCGAGGCGTGGAAGTAAGGACCAAATCGGGCTCGGGGGGGGGGGGGGGGCCATCTGCGTGCCCAGCAACGGCCAGGGGCGCACGCCCGACGCGGACACGTCTGGAGAACTCGTGAACAGTTTTTGGGGACGTGTGTGCAAATCTCACAGATTTGGAAGACTGTCGAGGCGTCTGGGAGGAGGAGGAGGAGGAGGAGGAGGAGGAGGAGGAGGGGGATCTGGGCGAAGACGGAAACATATCTTGAAACCTGTGAGACGCCAGCGGGCGCGGCAAACCTGGAAACATCTTGAAACACGCAAAGGGACATCTGGAAGAATTTGGGAGAATCGACGCCCGTGAGCACACCGAATCTGGAAGAATCTGGAGGAGTCTGGAGGAATGTGGACGCCAGTGGGCGCGCTCAATCTGGAATAATCTCGGGGAATGTGGAACATGGGGGAACACGGACGAATCTGATTTGAAAGAACCTGTCGAATTCGGAGGAATCTGGAAAGAATCTGGAAGAATCGTCAGGCATCCGGAAGAACCTGGCGAAATCCGGATGAACCGGGAATTCGGAACAAGTTGGAATGCTTTGGAAGAATTCGGGGGAATGAATGTGCAAGACGAATCCGAATGCCCGTGTCCACGAGTCCTTGGAGCGGGCGGTCGAGGCAGCGAAGGCTTGCAACGAGTGTGGTCAACACGGGCGGCCCCGAGGGGTGCCTGGGCTGCGCGGGCGCCCACTTGGAGGAGGTTCGCAAGAGCGGCCTCCAGGCGCGCGGTTTCAAGGAGCACCAGAGCCACTGGCGAGCAACGCCGAGGCTCTCGTCGCCGAGAGCCCCGAGGCGCCAGCTGACCCGAGCGAGCGGCGAGAGCGTCCCGATCCACGCGCTTCCGAGACGCGCGCGCTCGGCGACAGCCGTGCCCCGAGGGGACGCGCGAGCTTCTCGACCAGCCCGCTGCCCCCCGAGTGGAAACAAACAACCTCGCCACCGAGACAAGCAGCCACGCCCGAGGCACCGCGACACCGGGACACCTCGCCACCGAGGCAACAAGAGGAGCTCCCAGAGCATAGTCTTCCTCAGGATTCCTGTGCCTCCCACTCCTCGAGGGAGCCCCTCCGCAGCGAGCAGGGTATCTCGCTATACCAAAGTCTGTTTCAGGATCCCCACTTCTCCCACCTCTCCTGGGGGGGCCCGCCAAGTCGGGAAGGGTATCGCTATACCATGCCATGGTATTTCTCAGGGTGTCCACTCCTCCCACCTCTCCAAGGGTGGGGGGCCGCCTGAGCGAGCACGTTATCGCTTTACCGCAGTATTGTTCTCTCGATTCACACTCCTCACACACCTCCAGGGAGGCCCCGCCTGAGCGAGCACATTATCGCTACAAAGCAGTATTTGTCAGGATTCCTACTCCCCCCACCCCTTCGGCCCCGCCTGAGCGAGCACTTCATCGCTACACCCACGCATCTCTCAGGATTCCCGTTCCCCACCCCCCAGGGAGACTCCGCAGGAGCGGTCGCGGTGTCGATACGCCATGGGACACTCCGTACATCCGTACTTCCCGAAAGACTCCGTTCACTCCTTATCTTCCTCCACCTCCTTCTCCTCCCCCTGCTCCTCCTCCTCTTCCTCCTCCTCCTCCTGTTATCATATGTTGCGACCTGCCGGGGGCAGTTTCTTTTCCCCCCGAACACCGAGGTTTATTATCCACACCATGCGATAAGCAGGGGCACAAGGGTACCGATCAATAGCCGCCTGAAGCGTACACCTTGCCGGGAACAATAAATCAGAGTACACCGCCAACAACGAAAAAGGTCAAGCCGGGTTTGCTTATCCAGCTCGGCTCCGAGTCCAGCGAGGAGAGGGAGCGGAGAAGGTGGGACGAGGCCTGCGTTCTCCGGCCTTTCTGGCAGGGGCTCCACCCTCCGCCTGGAACGCCACGTCTCGCGCGCGTCTGTCAGTCGGTCCTCCTCGGCCGAGCGCCATCTCGCAGGTGACCGCCCTGGCCGCCAAGGTGGACGTGCTCGCCTCGGCGCTCGGCCGCGAAGGCGCTGAGGCGCGGCCGGTGCCGCCCTGGGCCAGGCTTGGAGCAGGTGGGCCCACCGTACAGACCCTGCTTTTCGATCCGACTGGGTGGGCTGAGGCGGGCCAGTGCTGGCTCCAGGCAGCAGGGGGGGGGAGGAAGGGCCCCCTTTCGTCGCCACGGCTGCAAGCGACTCGACCAGTCAGTTTCGACCCTGGGAGGGGTCCAGGGGCCGACCCCCCTCGTAGAACCCTGCTTGTCTCCTTGCCCCCCCTTTTGCGGGGGGCCTGAGCTCAGGGGTGGGCTGCACCGCGCAGCGATGCGCTTTTGGCCCAGCCTGAAGTGTGTTACCTTGCACTTTCATATGGTATTATATATATATATATATATATTTATATATGTATGTCTACAGACACACACACATACATACCTATATGTGTGTGTGTGCACTTTGGCTTCGGCCTCGCACTTCGGGCGCCTTCGGGCCGGCTGCTCGCCCGAGTCGGCTTCCCTGCCGCGCGGGTGCCTCTCGCCCTCCCTTCGCCCCTCGCCTCGTCCCGCCGCGCCCCCCTCCTCTTCCTTGTCTCTGCCCGCGCCTCCCTGCTGCCCCCCTGCCCCTCCTCCTCGACCGGGGAGCTCCGCCTGCCTGCCTTTGGCTTCTCCTCCCGCCGCGCCCCCTCCTCCCGATCCTGCTCTTCGGCGCCCTTTCCCCCCTCTCCGCCAGACCCCCCTCCTCCACCGGGACCGGAGGCACTCCCTCTGCCCTTCGCCGCGACCCTCCTCCTCTCAGGAGGGGAAAAAGCACACAGACACCATTAATCGTCGATTCCCAGAACATATGGGAACGTATGGGAAGTGGTGGGGGGGGGAAGACAAAAACCCAGAAGATATGGGAAGATATGGGGGATATTTTTATATGTGTGTATCTATTTGTGCGTCCCAGTTCCCCTTCCTCCTCCTTGTGCGCGCCGCCGAGAGAGAGAGGGAGAGCGAGAGAGTGCCGAGAGTCGCTGTCCCCCCCCCCCGCCGAGCGTGTTGAAACCCCTCTACGGGACGGGAAAATGACCACAGCCACTGCTTTTCTTTTGTTGCCGCCTTCCAGCCAGCAGAAACAAAGCAGTGGTTGTGGTCATTTTCGTTAGGCTTGGCACCAGGGAAATGACCACAGCCACTGCTTCTTTTTCGGCCGGCTGGAAGGCGGCGCAAACAAGAAGCAGTGGCTGTGGTCATTTTCCCGTCCCGCACCCTCTGCTGCTGATGGGGGAAGTAAAACGACGGGAAGATTGGGACACAATCGGATCGGGATGACTCGAAGTCTCTGAGAATCGGCGGGTTTGGAGGATGTATTGGGCGCCGCGGCCGCTCCAGAGCGTTCCGGAACGCTCCGAGAGCGCTCCGGAACGCTCTGGAGCGATTTATCCCGATCCTAGCCCTGATCCCGATTTATCCCGATCCTGATCCTGATCCCGATTTATCGCGATTTATCCCGATCCTGATCCCGATTTATCCCGAAGACGGGGTCGTGCGGGGGCGCAGAACGGGAGAACGTCCTCGCTCGGCTGCCGCGCGTCGTGCCCCTCTCTCCCAGGCTGCCGCCGCCGCCAAGACCGCCGAGGATAACTCCCAGAGGCTGACGATAGGGTCGCGCCGTGTCGTCCGGCGGCGACCCCGCCGACAGCCGGTGTTCAACGAGGAACGCCGCCAGCGACCCAGAATCGGGCGATGCTGAACGATCTGGCGTTTCGGAAACGGCCGACTGTTGAAGGTCGAATAACCCTCATGGTGTCAGGAACCAGCGCCGACGTCGGCACGGCACGAACTTGTGGTATGTGAGGACCTGGGGGCGCTACACTCAGGAGGGGAAAAAACATACAGACACAATTAATCGTCGATTCCCCAGAAAATATGGGAAAATATGGGAAGTGGGGGGGAAGACAAAGAACCCACAAATATGGGAAAATATGGGGAATCATTTTATTTGTGTGTATTTATTTGTATGTCCTGGGGCCCCTTCATACACTCAGTCCCTCGCGGCACGGTGGCGGATCTGGGAAGGATGCAGCGGGGGCGTTGGCGGCGGACCTCTCGTCTTACTCAAAAGTCTTAGATGCCATCTCTGCATGGACGATGCGTATGACTGCGGGGTATGGGGCGCCGTGGGTCTTGGTATCGCTCGGACGTGTGCATTTTTCCTTCGGCGAGGACCATCGAGGAGCATCCTTGACCATTCGAAAAAAACACGCACGAAACCAAAAAAAACACAGGGAATGGACGTCCGAGCGATGGCAGGGGGTGTGATGCGAGCGTTTCTTCGAGAAGGGTTCATCTGCGTTTGTTCCCTTCGTTTGTTGCGCCGGCGCCTGGAGTTTCTGAACTTGAACCTGCCAGGAAATCCTTCAGCCCCGGTGCTCCGCCACGGAGAGTGGCGACGATGGAGCGGAAGCTGTGTTCCGTCCTCTTCCGCGCCTTGGTGGGCGTGGTGTTACATTCAGTGCTCTGGTGGTTATGTGCTGCGTCTGGTTGTTCGCACCGAGCGTAGCAACTCCGCATCCGTCGTAGATTACTCACTGCCCTGGAGGGCCATATCGATCTTTGGCTTAAGTCGGGCATGTCCCTCTACAGGAGGAATACACAAAAATTGACGCAAAAAAACATAGTCTGGGGACGATTCTTCGACTATTTTTTGACGGTTTCAGATTGTTTTTCTGTCTTTGCCCCAGATCCGCTTGCATGGGGACATGCCCGACCTAAACCAAGCAGGCCATATCGATCTTTGGCCGGCCAGGTCCAGAGAAGGCGCCGGCACAGCGCGAGCGCCAACGGGCGCACCACGGGACGCCCTTCTCGCGAGAGACGCGGAGCACGACCGAGCGTCAGCGGCCGGGCTCGGCTCCGGGGCCATCGACTCTTCCGCGCTGCGAGGGCTAAGTATCGTTTAACCGGCCCCCATCCTCATCCCCATCCTCATCCCTATCCTCATCATCATCCTCATCCCCATTCCATCCTCATCCCCATCCTCATCCTCATCCCAATCCCCATCCTCAGACTCCGACCCCCATCCTCATCCTCATCCCCTTCGAGACCCCCAACAAATTACCACCCCAGTTGGGGACACACCCCTCGAACCCCCAAGGAAACGGCCTAGATCCCCTCCAGGGGGGGTAACTCGGCCAGTGGGGCCCATGTCAGGCCGCTGGGGTTAGGGATCGGTGAAATGATGCTCAGAGGGCATCCTTGCCCTCCTCCCTACATCAAGGCACACGACGACGCCGTGCGCTTTTTCGACGAGGCGATGGAGAAGGCTGTTTCTGCTGCCGACGGCAAGGCCCCTGGGAGGGTGAGGATGAGGATACAGAGCTTGACGACGGATAAGGAGCATGAGGAGGAGTGCAAGGACGTGTACAAGTTGTATGCGGTAGGAGGGTTACTGTTGAAATATGATCACATGGATGCGGCGAGGCCGTCAGATGCATGTGGTTGGCGCTGGTCCCTACATCGAGCGTGGTCCCCATGTGTGTCTTGGGAACTGGGGTGCAAAAGTCCGTTCCATACCTTTGCAAGCCTTGTCAGGACTGCACGGGCCTTGGGGCACCCTTCCACATGCTGAAGACACGGTGACGAATTCATATGGAAGACGGACCCAGAAGGAATAGTAATATCATCAGCAGCAGCCCAAGCAAGAGGGGTGCATTGGAGAAGGGGAGGACCGAGAAGGGGGAGGAGTGACGTCGACGGAGGGCAGGGGATGAGTAATGAGAGTTCAGCAGACGAGGGCGATGATGAGGATGGGATGTCCGAAAGGAGCGGGACCGTGGAAAAAGACGGGAGAAGAGGGAAGGAGGGGGTGAGTAGAGGGGCAGGGCAGGAGAGGTGAGGGAGGGAGGGAGCGAGAGAGAAGGACGAAGAGCGTGAGGTGAGGAGTAGGAAAAAGAGGAGGCGGAGGAGGAGGGGCAGAGGGCGGGGATGGCGGAGGGAGATGGGGAATGACAGGTTAGAGAAGGTGGCCAGCAGGTACAGAAACAAGCATCACATATAGAGGGTGGTCAGGCTAGAGGTGTGCGTGCATAGCCCCAGGTCGCCCACCCGACGTCTCTGGGCGAGAGTTCACCAGGCGGCCAGACTGTTGATTCAGGAGCAGCTGGCGAAGATGCTGCCCTTTTCTCTCCCAATTTCCTGAGCTTTCTCCCATGTACCCCCCCCTTCTCTTTCTGACCAGTCTCTCTCTTTCTCTCTGTTATCTCTCTCGCTCTCTCTCTCTCTCTCCATATATCGTTTCTCTTCTTTGTTCTCTCTCTCTCTCTCTTGCGTTCTCTCTCTCTCTGTCTCTGTCTCTCTCTCTCTCTCTCTCTCTTTCTTTATATATATATGTATCGATGTCGACATTTATCGGAGGTGGGGCGGTGAGATCGCAGCGAAACGGAGGCCCCCCACCGGGAAATCGGTTTCGGTCTCGTGTCCGTCTCGTGCGTGCGGGCGAGGCGACGCTGCGCGTGGTGCTCCTATAGCTAGGCCCTAGCTAGGCCGAAGTAGGAGCGAAAGTCCGTTCCCGCTCGCCGGTGGCTGGCAGGCGTCCCAGTTGGCCCGGGCGGTGTCCCGGGTGTCCCGGGTGTCTGTATAGGAGCGAGAGTCCGCTTCCCGTCCGCCGGTGGCCGGGAGGTGTCCCACGTTGGGCCGGGCGGTGTCCCGGGTGTCCCGGGTGTCCCGGGCGTCCCGGCGCTAACGCATGTCGCTAATTCCATCATTCATTTTTGTTCGGCGCCTGCGGCGGGCTATATTCAGGAGCGAAAGAAGGACGTACACGTACATGAATCCACGCTGTTTTCGAGAGTTCGCATTGCACGAATGTTCGTATCACGCGGCACGTCTCGCGGGTCACGGGGCCGTGTTCATGTACATAGCTGGGCGCGTACGTCCTTTGTGGGGTCCCTAGCTATCTTATCCAATCCAGCTTATCTAATCCGATCCATTGTGTCCAATCCAATCCATCTCATCTTATCCAACCCATCTTGCCCCATTTTATCTTATCCCCCAATCCAGACCACCCAACCCAATCCATCAATTCATTTTCGTCGGCGCCAGCGGCGGGCTATCTTTTCTAATCCAGCTCATCTTATCCAATCAATTTTGCCCAATACAATCCATCTTTTCTTATCCAATCCATCTTGTCCCATTTTTATTAGCCCACCCAATCCAATCCATCCAACCCAATCCATCAATTCATTTGTTTAAGCGCCTGCAGCGGGCCAATCCAATCCATCTTAGCCTATCCAACACATCTCTTCCAATCCAACACATCTTATATTATCCAATCCATATAATCCCATCCAATCCAATCCACCCAACCCAATCCATCAAATCATTTTTGTCTGCGCCTGGGCGCGATCGCGGCAGTCTGCGAGGCCCGAGCGTTCGGCGTTTTTTCCCTACCTAGGCTCTGCCTAGAAGGGTTCTTACTCTCTTAGCTTAAAGGGGCCGGGCAGTGCTATTCCCCCCTTCGGCGGTTCCCCCGGTCCCCGCCCCGCGGTTCCCCCAGTCCCCTGGGAGCTTTAGCTTACCTTAACTTTAGCTTTAGCTTTAGCTTTAGCTTAGCTTTAGCTTTAGCTTAGCTTTAGCTTAGCTTTAGCTTAATTTTAGCTTAGCTTTAGCTTAGCTTTGGCTTATCTTTAGCTGTAGCTTAGCTTTAGCTTAGCTGTAGCTAGCTTTAGCTTAGCTTTAGTTTAGCGTTGGCTTAGCTTTAGCTTAGCGTTAGCTTAGCGTTAGCTTAGCATTAGCTTAGCTTTAGCTTAGCTTTAGCTTAGCTTTAGCTTAGCTGTAGCTCAGCTGCAGCTCAGCTTTAGCTTAGCTTTAGCTTAGCTTTAGCTTAGCTTAGCTCTAGCTTAGCTTTAGCTTAGCTTTAGCGTAGCTTTAGCATAGCTTTAGCTTAGCTTTAGCGTAGCTTTAGCTTAGCTTTAGCTGGAACTTAGCTTTAGCTTAGCTTTACTGTTACTACTAATGCTGCTTCTCTAGGGGCTCCAACTCCTAGGTATGGTCGCACTGGGATATTTTCTTGTCATTTTTCTTTTGGGGCTGATCGTGCTATCGGCAGTATGATTCACCGATAGGTCGGTCGACGGATAGGTATATGGTGGGATCTCATCGCCATCGCGATCATCATTGTGGCGAAGGGAGACTCTGGTAGAGAGGATGAGAGACAGAGAGAGAGAGAGAGAGAGAGAAAGAAGGCGAGAGAGAGAGAGATACAGAGAGAGAGAGAGAGACGGAAAGACAGAGATATGATATCAAGGTGGTACTGTGGAGGTCAGTTAGTGTTGACCTCAATCCCCTCCCAACCTCCTTATCGCCCGCAGTGCGGTCGTATAGGTATATCTATATACACATAAATACATCCAGCTGCGTGCGGCAATCGTCGCCACCGTGCCAGTGCAGCAGCGCAGCGGGAGGGAGACTGAGTTTAGGAACAGCGCGATGCCGACGACTGATTTGAGCTCGGACGGGTCGTGAACTCGACCTCGAAGTTCACGACGCCCCTTCTGCAGTTCAGAGAGCCGTACACATTCAGACGGGCCGTGAACTCTTCCTGACAATGAGAAGGTCTCCTAGGGGCTCTCTGAGGGCCTCCTGGCGGTTTCTTGGGGGCCTCCTGGGGGCCTTTTGGGCCCCCCTCGCGGGACACTCCCTGGGACCCCCCGGGACTCCACCAGGGAACCCCCCCAAGACCCCCCCCGGGATCACCGACCCCCCCCCCCCCGCGTGTCGGGGAAGGGATCAAAGGGAAGGGCAACCCTTTCGACTCAACTACGACGTTGCTGCTTAATTTCGCGTTGACTGGCGCGCTCGAGGAGGGCTCAGGGAATAGGGAGGGGAGCGGCGGCGGCGGCGACGACGACGACGAACTGAAGAGCGCCTTCACACTACTCCGACAGGGTCGGCGGATAACACGTATCGGTATGTGTATATATATACATACATATATCTACATATATATATATATATGTATCCATATTTCGATGTACATCCACATACACATATGTATATATATATACACATACATACTGTATATAAATATATATGTGCATACATGTATTCGCACTCGCGCGCACATATCATCGCTTACGCGCACTCCCACAAACGCATGCAGTGCATACGGGAGTGCATGATACCTGCGTCCCCTTGGCACGCTGTCTCGCATCGGGGCGCCATGTTTAGCCCCGCCTTCTGGGAGCTCTAAGCGGTGTCCGAGATGGCCCAAAGTGCGCCCAGATGGTTTCAGGATGCCCTCGAGAAGATCTACGAGACCTCCTGAGACCCCATGAGGCCCTCTGGAGGCCCCAAGAGAGTTTCCATTATTATGAAGAAAGGCGCCAGGCAGTCCAACTTGCCAAATGCAATAATCCCAACCCTCATGTGTTGATGGGGCCTCGTTTTGAATCCGCAGTGCAGCACGTCTCACTCAACTCACTTCAGCCGCTCCTCCTGTTCTCCCAGCCTTCCTGTGCCGCTGGGTCCCGTGTTCTCCTGGCGGCGCCGCACCTCTCACTCTTGCTCTTCTGCCTCCCTCTCCATTTCTCCTCCCGTCCTACCCTCGCCAATGTTGACACACCTCTCGCACGTCTCGTGCCCCCACACCGAACTCCACCCGCGTCCCCGGTGGAGGTGCTCGCATGTCGGCGGCGCGCACGCATCGAGACACCCGCCGCGCGGATCGCGCCCCTCGGCGGGCTCAACCTGCGGTCCCAGTGGCCGTGCTCGCGTGGCAGGGTCGCGCACACCTTCATTGAGGGAATCGCCCTGTTTGGGGACAACCGTGTGGACATCTTGAAGCCTGCCAAAACACCACTCTCAGGACACGCCACGAGTTAGCCTGGCTGTTACGTCTTGGCGATCCTGAGCGGTGCAATATGCCAGAGCACCGTTCCCGGGACTTCAACACCGCCCTGACAGCCCTGAATCGTTCCAAAACGCCAGCTGTGGTACGTTAACCATGAGCTGCAAACATTTACGACGAGTGCGCGCGGCGTGGATCTGCGCTGGAGCCCCCCTGGCGGCGCGGCGCCTCTGGCGCCGCCCCTGGCGCGCTCCGCGTGCCGGGGGGGCGGTTGCGGCGCAGATCCAAGACATCCGCGCGGAGCATGGCAAGTTTACGCCTCTGCCGCTGACGGTTCCTCTAGGAAAGGCAGGGGGCCCCCTGGTGCGCGGCGCCCACTTGAGTCCCCCTCCCTCCCCCGCCTCTCCGCGCCTCCGAGGCGGGAATTGATCCATATCCACCGCCTGGATGGTCCTTTTTCGGCGCCTCGGCAGGCCGTGGATCTGGACATACTCGGGCCCCGGGGGGCTACAATACGTAGCACCCCCCGCAATCGCGGACAAGAGTGAGGGGGCGGGCGCGGGCGACGCGGGCGTCCAGCCGGCGGACCTCGTGGCCCTCACCTTCCCTGTCGATGCGTGGGTCGCGGGTGGTCGCGGGTGGGTCGCGGGATCTCCACATCCGCCTGGAAGGAGTTCCAAAACAGCCCGCCGCAGGCGCCCAACATTTTGATTTGTACACTGTACGCGGTTTGGGTCGCGGGTGTGTCGCAGGTTCCCCACCTGGAACGATTGCAAAAGAAGCCCGCCGCAGGGTGGGTCGCGGGGTGGGTCGCGGGTAGGTCGCGGGGTGGGTCGAGGTGGGTCGCGGGGTGGGTCGCGGGGTGGGTCGCGGGTGGGTCGCGGTGGGTCGCGGGTGGGTCGCGGGTGGTCGCGGGTGGGTCGCAGGTGGGTCGCGGGTGGGTCGCGGGTGGGTCGCGGGCGGGTCGCGGGGTGTGTCGCGGGGTGGGTCGCGGGTGGGTCGCGGGTGGCTCGCGGGGTGGGTCGTGGGTAGGTCGCGGGGTGGATCGGGGGTGGGTCGCGGGTGTGTCGCGGGGTGGGTCGCGGGTGGGTCGCGGAGCGGGTCGCGGGTGGGACGACGACAACAACAAGCAGCAGCAACAACAACAACAACAAGAATCCGCATCGCGGAATTCCACTTCAGCCGCGCACCCAGGGACGGTGGATGACCGTTCGGGTCAGCTCCCTCACTCTGACATCCATATCCACCGCCCGCTGGGGCACCAGGACGTCGGTTCCCAGGCGGTGGATGTGGACAAATCCCCGCCGCGCCGCGCCGCCTCGGCTGGCGTCGGCGACCCGCCCGCGCGCCGCCAGGATGGTTCACCTTCCGCGGCGGCAGGCCGGGCGGCGCCGTGCCGCACAGGACCGTGCGGGTCGGTGGCTCAGCGCTCGGGGGGCAGCACTAGGGGATAGGAGGGGAGGAGATAGGAGGAGGAGGAGGAGGAGGAGGAGGAGGAGGAGGAGGAGATAGGAGGAGGAGGAGGAGGAGGAGGAGGAGGAGAGGAGGAGGAGGAGGGAGAGTAGAGGAGGAGGAGGAGAGGAGAGGAGGAGGAGGAGGAGGAGGAGGAAGTGACAGAGGAGGAGGAGGAGGAGGAGGAGGAGGAGGAGGAGGAGGAGGAAGAAGAGACAGAGGAGGAAGAGGAGGAGGTAGTTAGGGGGTCAGAAGGTTTGCGGTCTGCGAGGTGCGCAGCTGCCGTCGCTTTGGTGGGCTCCTGGGAGGCTCAGCGGAGTGGGGGAGTGTGCAGACCCAGCCGAGGCCTCGCGTTCCCTGGGGGGCTGCGGAGTGCGAGTTTGTTGCCGTTGTCGTGGGCTCTTGGGAGGTCCAGTGAAGCAGATTGTCCTCGCAACGTGTTCTTCTGTATGTAGCGTCCATTTGAATAGTCGGCTCGCGTGGAGAAGGGGTTAGTACAATCAAGAGTTTTCTGCTCCACATAGCGTTCACATTCCGAGAACGAGAACCTCTTATCTTGACCCAGTGGGGCAATCATACTCGTGAACAACACGGCGTCTAGCGTCGTGCTTACGTCAGGTGTTTGTGCATGGTTTGTTTTGATAGGTTTCCAAGGGCATCCGTCCGCCCTCTGTGCTGAATCTTCAATTCACAGTTTTTCCCATTACCATTGGCAGTGGACCGTCCATCAATCAATGTCCCATTTCCTAGAGGACTGCTCGCATCAAGCACCGTATGGGCTCATCGTGGGCTCACAATTGTTCCATTTTAAGAGATACGCCTTAATATCATGTGTGCGTTGCGTTTCCCATGTTACTCACCCTGCTTGTTTGCATGCCGACTTTCCGGAATAAGCGTCCAGGAATCATAATTTTGGCCTCTTCCAGAAGGGGGCGTCATATCAGCAGTAAATGTATTGTTGTTGGTTGTGTCGTTGGTGTTCTTGCTGTTTTCAGGGGATGGTCACGTTGGGTAGGTCATGACTAATTTTGAGTTTGACAGTAGCACACCATGATTGTTCGGAGAGGGAAACGCCAGCTATGGCTGAGGTGAGAGGCTGCAAATCCTACGAAGACAAGGGCGTCCAGGTGCCCCGGCGGACCGTGGCATTGTAGCACCGCGCATTGCCTTGGCAGCCAGATGTTGCTGAGCTTGCGTAGGAGAGTAGCGGTCTCGAAACTGAAATAGAAGTGTTGCGCTCCGCAACTTGAATGTTTCACAGCCAGTTTCACCACAGAGAAGGAGGATGCGGCATTAGGGAGTCCAAATCAGCATGTTAGTGTGTTCTTGCTGCCCCCCCACATCCCCCTTGCCATCTTCACAGGGGTGAAGTTGACGCGCTCTGAACAGGCAGATTGTCTGGCTGCCCATTCACCAACATACTGTAACATGAGTCACGGTGCGGTGACCATCATGATGATATCGATGGTGGTGGCGACGACGATAATGATGACGCAATAGGTGTTGACGCCACGAATGCGAACGAAGTAATATGATGGCAGATAAACGTATGCCCCTCAAGATCGCCGTGACGATTACGACGAACATGGCGATGACTATGGCGGTGGTTGTGATGATGCTGATGATGACGTAGATGATGATGCTGATGATGCTGACGATGATGATGTTGATAATGATGATGCTGATGATGATGCTGATGATGATGATGGAAAGAGCGTGTTCTACCGCTGCTGGCGGAAAACCGGGGGGGGTCACTACCGGTTCGAACCCCTCCCCCCCCCCCCCCTCCGGAAAACCGGGGGGGGTCACTACAGGTTCGAACCCCTCCCCCCCCCCCCCCCCAGCTCATCATGAAAAGGGGGGGGGTCACTACCGGTTCGAACCCCCCCCCCCCCCCTCGAAAACCGAGTGGGGGTGCGGACAGTGGTGGGGACGGTGTTGGCGGGGACAGTGGTGAGGGGACAGCGGGACAGTGGTGGGGACAGCGGGGGGACAGTGGGACAGCGGTGGGGACGGTAGTGGTGGGGACAGTGGTGGGGACAATGGTGGGAACAGGGGGGACAGTGGACAGTGGTGGGAACGGTGGTGGTGGGGACAGTGGTGTGGGGACAGTGGGAATGAGGTGGAAACACTGGGACAGTGGAGGGTACAATGGTGGTGGGGACACTGGTAAAGGCGGTGGCGAGGACGGCGGTGGGACAATGGGACAGAGGTACAGTGGGGACAGTGGTGGGGACAGTGGGGACAGTGGTGGGAACAGTGGGACAGCTCAGTGGGACAGCGGAGGAGTCAGTGGGACAGTGGGGACAGTGGGGATAGGCAGTGGTTGGGTCCGTGGAGACAGTGGGGAGAGTGGAACCGTGGTGGGAACAGTTGTGGGAACAGTGGGGACAGTGCGACAGTGGTGGGGGCACTGGTGGGGACAATAGGGACGGTGGTGGAACCAGCGGGGACAGTGGTGGTGAGGACAGTGGTGCTGGGAACAACAGTGGGGGATGTGATGCGAGCGGTGGTAGGGACCGGGAGTCGTTTGCTGGCGGTGCGTGGGGGGGGGGGTCGAACCGGTAGTGACCCCCCCCTGGTTTTCGAGGGGGGGGGGGGTGGGGGGGGTTCCAACCGGTAGTGACCCCCCCGGTTTTCCGGATCCGGGGGGAGGGGGGGGGGAGGGGTTCGAACCGGTAGTGACCCCCCCCGGTTTTCGAGGGGGAGGGGGGGGGGGGGAGGGGTTAGGGAGGGGGGGTTTTGCCGGGAGGGAAGGGGGGGGGGGGGGAGGGGTTCCAGCAGGGCGGGGGGATTTTCGGAGGGGGGGGGGAGACCCCCGGGTTCCGGAGGAAAAGGTTGGCGTTGGCAATTTTCCACAGTAAAGCGGCGGTGGATCACGCTCTCTCTGATGATGACAACGTTGATGCTGTCTACGAGTAGGATGACGAAAGAGACAACAGCAGAGGCAGGACATCCCCTACCCTTCAAATTGCCCTAAGGATCTGGCGATATCGACGTTAATGAAAGTCACGCCGACGAGCATTGTGATATCGCATGTTGTAGCTGCGTTGGTCCACTGTGCGCCTCACTCGGCGATTTGAAGTATGTGGATCTGCTGCGTGGGATTTCCAGAGACTGCGAACCGATGTTCTGCGGGCGCCTGGAGTGATCTGGGAGGAGACAATGGCTGCAAGCTTACAGGTTCGGGTCTTAATAGGGCCTAGTATTATGCTGGTCGATAAAAGCTCATATTGTTGTCGATGCCAAGAGAAGTGGAGGGCCTCCAACGCTTATATTCCGCAAGATGCGGCGAGGGGAGTTCCACGCCCACCAGGGTTTGATTGCGACTTGCCCTGCACGCTAGACTGGACAAGCCCCTCACCATTGACGAGTTCCTCCAGAAGTTTGATGCAAGTCGCTTGCGCATCCGCGCACTGGACGAACTGCTCCAGGGATCAGCTGAACAGATGCCAATGGTTGCTGGAGCAAGATGAAGTTGGCGATGCCCGGTGACAAGTGGTACGAGAAAGATGCGCATACCCAGCGTGAACGGGCGTTGGAGCGGGGCGGGCGCGGGGTAAGGATTTTCCACGAAAGATAATCACAGCAAACGCAACAAAGGGTTGAGTCCTTGTCTACGCGGACCCTAAGCTGTGACCTATGCGGTGTAAGCTATGTGGCGGGAGCCACGCGGTGTAACTTCCCACCCTTCCCCCCGCATTATGTTTGAAACAATTCAGTCGGCCACGATTGCAGGCGCTTGCTAGCGCGTACTTGCGGCCGCGCTAGCGCGCGAACCCTCGAGCGCAGGTCGCCCAGTTGGTCTAACACAGCTGATGCGGGTGCGATAACGCTTGCTGGCGGGAACTTCCTAACGCGCCTCCAAGGCCGCGCCATCGCGCAGGCTTCAGGGCGGCTCGGTGGGTCGGGCGGGCGTGGTTTCATGATGACGTCGACAACAACGGCACCGATGACGACAAGATCGATGGTGGTGGCGATGATGACGGTGACGACGGCAAAGGCAATGACGGCGCCGATGTTAGTGACGACGGCAACGATGATGATATCCATGCGGCGGTGATGAAGGTGATGCTTTGGTGATGGCGGCAATGGCGGCGATTGGCGATGACGACGACAGCGGTGATGCATTGTCGTTGACGGGGGTGATTGTGAGGGTAGGCGCGCGCGCAAGAACCCAATACACATGGATGACCCATCGCGATTGTGCTTAAGAGTACGTGATTGAGCTCTATCGTGAAACGCGTCGCAAACCGTTGCTTTCGACACTCGCTCGTGGCTGCGCGTGCGTGGCCTACATGGTGTTATGCTGATTCGGGGTTGCGCACATGGTGCATGCCAGATCAAATCATATGCACCGCGATGTGACATGGGAGCGCGGGTGTTGGACGAGATTGTCAACAACCTCGCGGTTCCCCGCATGATTCCAACATCTGCGTTCGGACAGACACCTTGCAATCACTGTGATTGGTAACACATTCAGTTTTAATCTTGGTATGCCCGCCTTTCTAATGGAGACTGCGCTGTGCGTTGCGATCTCTTCGGTGTAAACTAATGCGGTCGAAGCTGTGTGGTCTCCAGCTGTCTGCGGCACGTCCCATCAACGTGCCAGCCCAGCATCTTGGGTTGCGACTCATCGAGGGGGCACGGGAGGCCGTCACGTGTGACACTTACGTGCCTCCAGGCTTGGGAGAGCCGTGATGAGGACGATGGGGATTCTGATGATGATGATGATGATGGTGATGATGATGATGATGTTGGCGATGATGATGGTAATGATGATGACGATGATGATGCTGATGATGATGATGATGATGATGATGATGATGATGAAGATGATACTGGGTTGGTGAGATGATGACGGTGGTGGTGATGATGATGATGTTGATGATGCGGATGTTGATGCTTATGCTGATGCCGACGGCGGTGGTGACGACGACGACGGCGACGGTGATGGCGACGACGATGACGGCGATGACGATGACGATGACGAGGTTGCTGCTAGTGGTATTGGTGGTTCAGATGGTTATGATTATGATGAGGTTGGTTAGGATGCTGCTGTTGATGATGGTGATGCTGATGATTATGACGATGCTGATGCTGTTGATGATGTCGGTTATGATGGTGCTGATGCCGATGCTGATGATGCCGATGTTGCTGCTGATGCTGATGCTGATGCTGATGATGCTGCTGATAGTGTTGAGGATGATGATACCGATGGTCATGCATATGATGATGTTGCTGGTGATGATGTTGGCGATGTCGATGCTGCTGATTCTGCTGATGCTGCTTTTGCTGCTGATGATGAGGATGCTGCTGATGATGATGATGATGCTGCGGATGCTGATTAGGTTGATGATGATCCTGATGGTGCTGGTGGGGCTCCGGCTTATGCTGATGATGATGGTGATGATAAGAATGGTCGTGATGACGATGATGGTGCTGACGCTGCTGATGGTGATGATGCTCATGCTGATGATGCTGCAGATGGTGATGATTATGACGCTGCTGGTGATGGTGCTGATGATGATGTTGATGATGCTGATTATGATTAAGATGATGATGATGATGCTGATGATGATGATGCTGATGATGCTGATGCTGATGATGATGCTGATGATGGTGATCATGCTGCTGACAATGATGATGATGATGATGATGATGATGATGATGATGATGATGATGATGCTGATGGTGATGATGATGGTGATGATGGATGTGATGATGGTAGTGATGCTGTTGCTGCTGCTGCTGCTGCTGATGATGATGATGATGATGATGATGATGATGATGTTCATGCTGCTGATGGCGTTCGTTTTGGGCCGTCCTGCGGGTCTCTTACGCGGGCTCGGCGCTCTCTTTGACCGTCCAGGGGCCCTGTTGGCCGTGTAGTGGGTGTCTCGGGGCCGTCGCAGGGCCTTCTTGGCGCCGTCTTGGGTCGTCGAAGGGCCTTCAAGGCTGCCTTGGGTCCCACTGGATGCCCTCGTGGACCGTCTTGGGGCCGTCTTTGATGCCGCTTGGGGGCATCGTGGGGTCTTGTTTGGCCGTCTTGGATGCCTCGTGGGCAATCGTGGTGTCCTCTTGGGCCGTCTTGAGCTGGCGACAGCCCGAGAAGGAGAGACAGCTAAACGTATTCAAGAGACCCAACGGAACTAAAGGAGTTTGGCTTCTTCGGGCACTGTTAGCGATCCTCTTGCGGCCATTGTGAGCGTCTTGTGGGCATCTTGGGCCGTCTTGAATCACTATTTTGGCCGCCTTGTGGCCATCTTGGGCCGTCTTCGAGGCATCTTGGGCCATCTTGGTGTCCTAGGTTGCCTGCACTGGCAGTCTTGGAGGCTCGGGACGCATATCGCTTGGGGGCAGCGCCTGCGAATGCGGGACGTGCACGATCCTCGAGCGGGTGCGCATGGGATAAGGGGTCTAGGAAGTAGCAGTCATGTGGGAAGTGTGCAATCCTCGAACGGTCGGGCATGGAATGAGGGTTCAGGCGTTACATGCCGTACGGGAAGTGCACCATCTTCGAGCGGGCACGTGTTGCAGGTGGGTTCAGGCAGTACCTGCCATGCGGAAGTGCACCATCCTCGAGCGGGCGCGCATGGAATGAGGGCTCAAGCATTAGCTGCCGCGCGGGAAGAGCACCTTCCTCAAGCGGGCACGGGGGAAGTGACCTCGGAAAGGAGGGGTGATGCATGCTGCAGTCTGCGAGTAGAGGGAGGGGGGGGCCCTTCTTGGATTTCAAGCACCCTACCAGGCAGACTTTGACATTTTCCCACGCCGCCACGTACCAGGGGGCACGGTGGCGGAGACTTTTGAGCCCGCCGGTGAGTTATCAGCTCCCTTGTTCGCGCAGTCGCCCCACCCTCCCACCCGCAGCTTGTTTTGCAAAACCTTGGCGGCAGCGATCGAGGTGATTACTTGGCCCCGGCTGGCGCATCTCTGCGGCCCCGCTGGCGCGAACCAGCTTTCGCGCAGAGCAGCCAGCCGCTTTGGCACAACTGATGCGGCCACGGTGGCATCTTCCGCTGGGAACTCGCCAGTGCGTCGAGCTCGGAGGCCTCGCAGGCGCCAGCCCGCGGGCACTTCGGTGCCGCAGGTCGGCGGCTCGGGCGGGCGCGATGTCGTGCTGACGTCGACAACGGCGACAACGATGATGATAGATGCGATGGTGGTGGCGATGATGACGATGACGACGTCAACGCCAATACCAACGATGTTGTCGACGGCGATGCCATCACCACGTCCATGTGCCGGTGGTCGAGGTGGTCGCCAGATGATGGCGGCAATGGCGATGGCAGTGACGGCGGTGATGCGATGGCGCTGATGAGTGATATCGTGGCGAAGTACGTATGGGCAGGGATTCCCGGGCTTCGTGGCTTAGTTCTGCCGTCGAAATACACACGGGTTTCCCCTTTGTGCTGGCAGAGCTTGACATATTTCGGCAGCCGCTCGTGTTGGATGGATTTCGACTCGCGAGTGGCGGCGCGCGCGTGCGGCCCGCGGGATGTTATTTGGAACGGGTTTGTCCCAGGGGTGCATGTGGGACCAACGCGGATGCACCGCGCTGTGAAATTCTAGTGCGAGTTGTGGACCAGGTCTGCAAATTGAGGTGGTGTTCGTCCTATGTCAGCAAACGCGCGCGGACCCAGCACCCGTTTTTGGAGATGCGCGCGTGTCCGCGCCCAGGATCTTCCGACAGGGATTGAGGGACGGCCGATCTTGGTTGAAGTGGGGTGGCATGGTTCGTATGGAAGATGAAGGGCGAGGCGAAACCAGATGCACATCGCACTGCGAGGATGCGGCCCATTTTGCCCCCCAGGGTTGGTGGTGGTGGATTATGTCTTTACTTTGCACTCGGCATCGCTCTGACGTGTGCATTTTTCCTTCGGCGAGGACCATCGAGGAACATCCTGGACCGTTTCGCGAAAAAAACACGCACGACACCGAAAAAAACACAGGAAATGGACGTCCGAGCGGTGGCCAGTGCAATGGGAACTGATGCCGCGAGTGAGTTGTCAACTCCACTGCCCGCGCAAACACCCCATCCTCTGAAGGTGATTGGCTGATGATTGCGGCAATTGTAGCGGCTGGCGGTGACGAGATGGGCGGTGATGCGACGATGACGCCGATGGGGGAAAAGTAGGGGAATGCGCGCGCAGAAATTCAAGGCATCTGACATACCATTATGATGAAACCGCTAAACTGTGTTCATATGGGTTTGCTTGAAACGCGTCCGAAGTCATTGCTTTAGTTAGCAGGATGTCGACATGCACACATGGCGGCGCGCGCGTGTGGCACGCATGGTGCTATTTGATCTGGATTTGCGCAATAGGCGCATGCTGGATCAACGCGGATGCACCGCGTGGTGAGATGACATTGCAAGGTAATGCCGATATTGCTGAATTCAGATGGTTTGCACGTGATTTACCTGGTGTGCGCGGTCTGACAATCTGTAAGGTTGTTGGTGAATTTCCTACGCATGTCTGATGTTTTCTAAGTTGGCACGCTTGCATCTTTGACGTGCATGCGTTCGACGTGTACGCGCGTGTGTCGATTGTGGTATTCGTATTGTATCTGGGATTCTTGCAACATGTGGTCTGCAGAAGGCGAGTGTGTGCGCATGGTGCCATCTGACAGGGAGGAGGAGGGTCGATACCAGCCGACTGGGATGAGATGCTTTCGTCTGGAAAACGTGCGATGGCGATGGCGCGGAACCTTCATAATCCCAGGGGGGTGTCTCTACACCTGGGAGTGTATTGCCAAAAAAACCCGAAGGATTGCAAAAAAAAACCGGAACGAAGGATTGCAAAAAAACCCGAAGGATTGCAAAAAAAACCCGAACGAAGGATTGCAAAAAAAAACCGAAGGGTTTTTTTGCAATCCAGGGTTTTTTTGCAATCCTTCGTTGCCATGCTGTGTTGGCCATGCCGTGTAACGCATGCGGCGCAGCGCTGCTGCGTTGGCCACGTGCTGCGCCGACGTGGCGGGCGCGGGCGCCGACCTGGCGGAGCTCCCGCGGGCCCACCCGTCGCACCTTGGCGCGACCACGAGCCCGGCATCGCTCGGACGTGCGCAGCTCTCCTTCGGCGAGGACCATCGAGGAGCATCCTGGATCACTTCGCGAGAAAAAAGCCACGCACGAAACCGAGAAAAGCGCAGGAAAGGGACGCGGCGAGGAGCATCGAGGAGCATCCTGGCTCACTTCGCGACAAAAAAAAGCCACGCACGAAACCGAGCAAAAAGCACAGGAAAGGGACGTCCGAGCGATGGCCAGCGAGGCGCCGTAGGGGCCCCCGCCGAGGCGAAGCCTCGGCGCACCCGCCCCGCGCACCAGAGGCGCCCGCGGGCGCCCGCGGGCGGGCGCCGGGCGAGCCCCCCGGCGCCCGCGGGCGCCCGCGGGCGCCCACGAGCGGGGGGCGCCGGGCGAAGCCTCGGCGGAAATTGCTCGGCGCACGAGGCGCCACCGGGCACCCGCTGGCGGGCGTCGTTCCCGATCACATGGATGAGCCATACATTGAGCATACCTTTTGGACGCCCGAGATGGGCACGGAAAGAATGGGTACAATGCCCGACAGCAGTTCCTGTCCACTCTGAACAGGACTCGCTGTCCGCGCCGCCGCGGTCTGTGTCCCTTCGAGACAGAGGGCCGCCTGCCCAACAGCGGCCGCTGTTGGCTTGAGACAACATTTGTTGTTGGGCATTGTACCCATTTTTTCCGTACCCATTTCGGGCGTCCAAATACATGGTCCATTCAGCCCCCATTGAATGAAGGGGCCCCAGGACACACAAATAAATACACACAAATAAAAATATTCCCTATATTTTCCCATATTTTCTGGGTTTCTGTCTTCCCGCCCACTTCCCATATTTTCCCATATTTTCTGGGAAATCGAGGATTAATTGTGTCTGTGTGTTTCTTTTCCTCCTGATTGAAGACCCCCTGTTGCAGACCCCCTCTTGCACCCTCTTGAAGCGTCGGCGAACACAGCCAGCGTGCGTGGCGCCCGCGCGCGGAGCGCCCATGGGGCCTTCCCGCGCGGGCACCGGGCGAAACCCCAGCGGGCCCACCCGGCGAAGGAGTCGCTCGTGGACGCCGGAGGCCGGAACGTTGCGAAGTGTTCGCGGACCCACCCGATTCTCCAGGATACTCAGTGATAGCTTTGGGTGCAAGCGCTGCTTGGGGGCCGGCGGTTGGTGCTGGGGAAGAAAACCGGGTGTTATCGTTTGGCGTCCGATGCTTGTGCGATGATTTTCTGGCCACTGCGCCCGCGTGTGGACATTCAGCTGTCACTTATTCCGGAACTTGATGTGGCTTTCGTGCCGCATTCCTCGGGGGTCCCCAAACGGGTTGGTGACCACACCGTGCAGTGAGTCGGGGGGGATTCGGGGTCACCGCACGGTTTTGGGACTCGGGTCGTCCTCCGAGGACGTCTCGGGCGACGGGCATCCGAGGTCCCAAAACCGTGCGTTGACGGACCGTGCGGTGAGGTCTTGGGGGATTTCGAGGTCACCGCACGGTGCGTCACCGCACCGTTTCGGGACTCCAACATTCCCCCGCGTGGATCGCATTGGTTTCGATAAATTGGAGGCGCGCGCGTGCCCCATTTGGTCGTATTCACAATGCCCACTGTGTGATACAGAAGAAATAACTCACGAAATCCGTGCTAGAGCGTGACATGTTGCGACTGCATCGGGTTTTGTTCCGCATGTCCGGGTTTCACATGTCGCGTTGGTGTTAGACCCCATAGTCGCATAACACAATGGATACACGGGCGGGGTCGGATTGGTTGCGCCCTGTCTGGCAGAGTGGAATCCGAACAGAGTAGATAAAAATAAAGTGCATGTGCGTGGCGGAAGCAAAGTTGTAGTGCTCGATTGGAGCTGGTTATGGGTATGGTCGAGTTTTGCAGCAGCATGGGGCAGAGCAGGACGTGCCACTTGCAGGACAGTTATTGCGGCATATGCGCTTCGCAGATTCAAATTTGGGAGTTGGCCGTGGTTGGTATGATGCTGTGTCGACGCCATCGTTTCTGGGGCTCTGCGCTGGCCATTACCGTGATACGGGTGGGGCCAGCGAGTGCGCCAGGGTTGATAGTGGGGTTCCTCGGCTCCATTGTGGAAACCCATATGAGAAACGTCGCACCTGCTTACACGAACTTTCCTCATGTCGGGCAAGAAATGTCTGGTGTCGGCGATTTTTTCGCGCAAGCACATGCCTGCATGGCGTGCGCGCGCCTTGAATTGGTGCAGGCGCTGATGCGCGTCGGCCATGGCCACTCCAGTGTTGCCGCCCCCTTTACGGTATGGTTGCGTCGTGCCTACCCACGGTGACCCCGCCGCCGGCGTTCAACGTTGAGCGCCGCCGGCGACCCAGATTCGGTCATTGTTGCACGATTTGACGTTTCGGAAACGGCCGATCGTTCAAGGTTGAACGATCCCCGCTGTCCAATGCCGAGGGCGACACGACACGAACCCACCGTAGTTTGTGTTTTTTCAGTTCTTGGCGGCCCTGCAGCTCCTGGGCGTCGTTTGAACTATTTGCGCCGAGCTCCATGTGTGCAGGCAGACATCGGCTGTAGCTAAATGCGCACCGAAACGGTCGCGTGAAGCCCTCCATGACGGTAGAGTATCAGCCAACGTTTTTTTGTTTTTTGTTTACCCCCCTCACTGCAGTCCCTGGCCCCCTCCTCCCACTCTTCTCCTCCCCTTCCATCCGCCTTCGCTCCTCCAGGTTTCCTCCCACCTTCCTCTTCCCGGTACACTTTAGGTTTGTTTATATGGAAGCTTTGAATTTCACTGAAACTGTCCTTCTTGGGCGTTTAGCTGCCATTCGCGGCAAGCAGGGGGCGATCGGTGGACGGTTGGTGCGGGGCGTGTGCCGTCATTTGCCGCTAGTCGGTTGCCGCTCCTTGCCGCTATTGGACGCTGTTTGCCGGCATCATCTCGACGAAGGCCGGGTTCCATAAGCACGAACGTGCTCTCCCTCCCTCCCTCGCTTCGTATCCCTCCTCCCTCCTCGTGCCGCCCAGCACCTCCCTACCCCGCCCTCCCCCCCACGTGCCCCTGCGCGGGACCCTGCACGGGCGCCTGGCTATGTGGCCAACGCCGGCAGAGCTGGGGCATCCGCTGCGGGAGGCAGCCGTCCGTCGGGCGCACCACGGCCCAGTAGACGGGGCGCGGCCGTGCCCCTGCCGACACGCAGTGGCTGCGCGCCGCTGTGGCAGCGCCTCGCACCGTGGCCAGGCGCCGCAAACCCGCAGTGCAGGTACGCCGAGGCTCCCCACTCTTGGGAACCGCGGTTCCCAACGCGGTTCCCGACGCTGGGCCACCTCAGACCCCAGACGGCTCCAACGGTTGGAGCCGTCTGGGGTCTGAGGTGGCCCAGCACTGGTTCCGGGCTCCCCGCTCCTGGGAACCGAGGTCCCTCCCAACGGAGGGCGAGCTGCTCTCGCCGCAGAGCAGTTCAAGCAACAGGCCACCAAGGAGGAAGGGGGGCAGGGAGCAACACAGTCCTGGCGTCAACGCGTGCGCGCCGCGTATGGCGGACACGCAGGGGCAGTGCGCATCCGCGGCGCAGGCAAGCATCCCCACTGCCTGGTTTCGCCATGCTGGCGGTTCCGCCAGGGGCGTCCACCTGCATCCTCTCCTGACCAGAGGAGCGGCGAAGGCAGCTCCAAGTGCTTCCCCTGACGAAGCCCTGGCAGAAGGTGGTGGCCCTGCGCGCTACCTGGGTCAGCGCCCGTGCAGTCGCGCCACCTGGGTCAGCGCCCGTGCAGTCCCTTGCGCGCGGGCGGGCTCCCCCATCGGGGTCAAATCGCCCGTGGGGGCCCGCTCCCTCGCCGACTAGATGGTCCCTCAGGCTCCCCCCCTGCGATGTCCGCGAGGGGTCGGCGTCGCGTGCGTCCGCAGTGGCACGCAGCCCGCCGCCGCCGGCTGGCATCCTCAACGACACCGGGGCCATGCCCAAGCTTTCAGTGCAGACGTGGGAGCCCATCATCGCTTTTCGGACTTGGTCAATGCTTCGGCAGAAGTGTGCGGCAGAGCTCCCCTCGCGCATCAGGTCCCCGCCTTTCCCCTGGCAGTGGTACGACCACGTAGCCTCATGGCGCCGCTTGCGTGGAGGCAGGCTTTCCGCAGGGGCGTCGGCGGGTGCGTGTCGCTCGCGCCTACAGCCGACGGGCTGTGGGGCGGCGGTCGCTTTTCCAGCTGGGCTGGCGCCGGCGGGCGGGCGTGCGCCGATGGCGGGGGCGGGCGATGCCAGTAGCGGAGTGGGCTACGAGAGGGGCGACGGGGTCGTCGGGCGTCCTATTCATTCGCACTTGGCCAGCCCGACGTTCTGGCGGCACGGACGGGTGGAACACCACGACGGCAGCGGGCTTTGCGCCTGCTGGCGTCCTGCGTCTCTTCGTCGCCACCTGTGCGCACCACGCAGCGCATCGCCGCAATCTTCAGGCTCCTGCTACACATCTGCAGCCCTCTGCCCGCGCAGCCACAAGTCGCGGGGCTTCAGTTGCGTGCAGGGGGGGGGCCTCCCGAGGGAGTCCCCGCTGGCCTCAGCAGGCCACCTGAGCAGCCCTGGGCTGTCTCAGCACCCTGGCGCCGCCTCTGGCGGCGCCCCTGCGGCGCTCAGCGCGCTCCAGGGTCCTGGCATCGCCCGGACGTGTGTATTTTTTTCTCGGCGAGAACCCTCGAGGACCATCCTGGACCATCGAGCAAAAAAATCACGCACGAAACCTAAAAATGCACGGGAAATGGACGTCCGAGCGATGGCAAGGGGTTGAGCCGCCCCGGACTCGTCCGGGGGCCTGACGAGGCCAGCTGGGACCACCTGGGGGGTTCGTCTGTGCGCAATCCGAAGCCTCACCGAACGCCAGGGGGGGCCCCCGACCAAGCAACGGTGCCTCTCAGCCGTGCCTGTCCAGATGTGCGCCCGGGAGGCCCCCGCACACCTTGCCGCGTGGTCCTGGTCGGGCCGCTGGAGCGCCCTGCCGCCAGTTCTGCGGCCGCCCCCAGGGCCACCACTGGAGAAGCCAGAGCCAGCTCCAGGAGGCCACAATTTCGGGAGGCCAGAGGTTGAATCTAGTATCGGCGCTGGTATATCCGTGGTCGAAATTGGCCTAGCCCTGCACGATCCCGCTTAATCCGGCTTGATCACGTTCACTTTGGTCCACTCTGGCGTAATCCCGGGCCTAGTCTGGGTCCACCCGCCACCCCGTAATTGATCGGATTCAGTCACCCGCAGTTAATCGTTATTGCGAAGACCTCTTAGGAGGGGACTCCGGTAGGCGGTGGACGTCGATGGTTTTGTGCTCACAGGGGGCCCAGACGTGTCAATGCCCATCGCTCCCTGGGGTCGCAGGGCGTTTGTCCCCCAGGCGGTGAATTTGGATAAATCCCCGCCCCGCAACCAGGGACCCCCCCCCTCCAGGGTGAGACCAACCCAGCCGATGGCGGCTACAGTCAACCCGAATAGTAAGGATGGGCAACCTTCCCAAGGGTAGCCTTGCATCTTTGCCTCCTCGGTCCGTCCTTCGCCGCTTTCGTCGGCCGCGCCCCGCTCGGAAAGCTTCGAAATGGGCGTCCAAGGCCCTTGCACCCTCATCGCGCATCCTTGCTATATGGGTTGACTGCACTGCCTCGCATGGGGCAGCTCGGCGCCAGGGTAATGACCCTTGCAGCTGCGGGCCAGCAGGGCTGCCTGGTCGACTGGGCCTGCTCCTTTGTGCGTGCGAGCCGCGCTCCTGACCCCCGGGCGCGACGGCTCGACGACGGCTGTCGATGGGCACGCCGTCCCCCACGGCACGCCCAGGCCTCCTCCGCGGTGCTTCCGCGGGCGCGGGGGCCGCGGGGGCGCGCGGGGCCGCCGCTGGCGCGGGCGCGCGGGCCCGCGTGGCCCCCGCCCTGTTGCCGCCGGCTCCCTGCCGTGCACGCGCGCGCGTGCCGAGCCGCGGGGGGGAAGAGCTCCTCCTCGGTGGCGAAGTTCGAGCTCCACCCTCGCCGATCGACGATTGGCGCAACTCGATGGGCGGCGGGGGTACGGTGCGGAATGCGTCGAGCGCGTGGCGAAATCCAGGCCCCACCCCCGCCTCCCATCGAGTCAGGAGAATCGGTGGCTCGTAGGAGGTAGGGTCCGGATGTCGCCACCTATCCTTGATCCCTTCGGTAGCAACTCATGGTAGCCTCGTGCGTCTTCGTAATTATAATTCCCGTCTTGAGAGTGCATTCGCGTGCGCCAGCGTCTCGTGCTAGATGGAGAGATCGCAGATTTATCGTCGATGAGCGTGGATTTAGCGTCGGTTGGCGTCGGTTAGCGTCGGTCAGCGTCGATTCGCAAAGAGCCAGCAAGGTGGCATGGGACGCTTCCGTGAGTTGCCACCGAACCTTCTCTTCCCTGTTCTCCCTCCTCCCATGCTCCCTTCATCCAGGCCTCCCAAGTGGGATCAAAGCTGATGAGGTCGCCGGGTTGCGCCGCATCATCGATGCACCGGCGATGCGGCTCCGTGTGGAGCCTGATTTTCTCCACGCCGACGTCACCGATGCAGCGCTGACGTCGCAAACGCATCGTTGATGCATCGGCGATGCGACGGCGATTCGACGCGATCCTCCGACCCCATCTACTCGGACCCCATTTGGAAGGTATCTAGGGGAGGAGGAGGCCGAGCAGGAGGAGCAGGAGGAGCAGGAGGGAGACGAGGGAGAGTGAGGAGAGGGGGATGGTGAGATGGAGGAGAGGAGGAGAGGGGTGAGCGAAGCGAAGGTGTAGTTATGACTTTCTTCCTCGTCCCCCTAGCCCTTCTCCGCCAGCAGCGAAGCAGGCGCAAGCGCGGCTGCGGTCTTCGACTGTAAATTACGTGGCGCCTCGCGTCGGGACTCTTTCGGTAGCGCGGCCCTTTGCCGAGAGGGAGGGGTGGAGGACGAGGAGGGGCGACAAGCGTGTTGTTCATAGGTTGCCTTTTGCATGTGTCTTCGTTTGCCATGCAGCGTTGCGTGCAGTAATTATCGCGCCACTTGTGCACTTGCTGTCTTCGCATGCCGCTGCCATTTTCAGCATGGTCCGACGAGGCCGCGGAGGCCGACACGGTGACACGCGTGCTGAAAAAGAGACGGGCTGGAGTACGAGTCAGGCTCGGGGAAGAGGAGGGTTTGGTCCTGCTCGGAGACAGGAAGGATATGGGTGAGTGGCGACGAGGAAGGGGAAGGAGGCGGGAGGGCCAGTGGGATGGAGGGGGAACGGGGGATGTTTCGGATTTGCTGGGATGAGTGAGGAGGGTGAGGAGGGGGAGAGGTCCGGGGGGGAAAGGACGAGGGCAGCGGGAGCGAATGGCGGAAGGGAGGGAGGGTTCGAGAGGGAAGGAGAAAGGGAAGCAGCGAGGGGGGGGGGAAGGTGGGAGGGGAGTGGTGGGGATGGGGAAAGAGAGAGAGAGAGAGAGAGAGAGAGCAAGGCAGGTCGTGAGGGCTCAGTTCTGTCGGAGGAGGAGGGGCGGGGAGGCGCATGGGGACACGAGAGGCCTCGGCAGCCCTCGGGCCGTGCTGCAGGACGCCCCCCGGCCGTGGGCGCGAGCGGTGGACCTTCTGCCGCCGGGCGGCAGGTGCGCGGAGGCGGGCGGGGGCGAGATGCGGGCTGGCTCCGCCGCCGGCGGAAGCCGGCGGAGGTTGGGCAGTCCCTACAGTGCTGCTCTCACAGAGGTGGGAGCACGTAGGGGTGGCACGTTGGAGATGGAGATGGGGCTGGTCCGCCTCTTCCGTCCCCGGCAGTCCCCGTGCGTGCTTCCTCTTGGCCCCCCGACGGGATCTTACGTGCTTCCGTCGCGCCGGTTTCGGTCGACTTTTTAGCGAGGCCCACCACGAGACGCCCTGTTGCTGAGACTTGCGGGCGTAGTGTTCGAAAAAGGAGGTTGGGCAGAGTCTGGGCAGAAGTGAGAGGAGATTCAGGAGGGGAAGAAACACACAGACACAATTCATCGTCGATTTCCCAGAAAACATGGGAACCTCTGGGAGGTGGGGGGGAAAGCCAGAATCCCAGAACATATGGGAAAATATGGGGAATCCTGTCATTTGTGTGTATTTATTTGTGTGTCCCTTGGCCCCTTCAGAGATGTCCGCATCCCAAGCGTGAGAGGTCAATAAAGACCGAGGTCCGAATCTCAGACGTCCAACGTGTTGGGCACTTCAGTGAAGGCTCCGAGGGGCCCCCTCTCTGGGCCCCCGGAGGCCGAGAGCGACGGGAAGAGTGAGCGTGCCGCTGCAGACATCCGCTTGACGCTGCGTTCGGACGGGTGCTCGAACTGACCAGATCATGATGGGGATGCCTGTGGTGACGATGCAGATGACGATGCTGACGAGGATGACGAGGATGATGAGGATGATGACGATGATGATGACGATGATGAAGTACTATGGCTATGGCGATGTTGATGATGACGATGATGATGGTGATGGTGATGATGATGCTGATGATGATGCTGATGGTGATGGTGATGGTGATGCCGATGATGATGATGATGATGATGATGATGATGATGATGGTGATGGTGATGGTGATGAAGATGCTGATGATGATGATGATGGTGATGATGATGAGGAGGATGAGGATGAGGATGAGGATGAGGATGATGATGATGATGATGCTGCTGATGATGATGATGATGATGATGATGATGATGATGATGATGATGATGATGATGATGACGACGATGATGATGATGATGATGGTGGTGGTGGTGGTGGTGGTGATGATGATGACGGTGGTGGTGTTGATGATGATTATGATGATGATGACGATTCGTTTCCCGACATCAGGACCAAGCAACACACAAAGTGAACACAGTCGTATGCAATCGAGGGTCCGTCGCAGAGAGCATCCAATGATTTCGTACTGCCCCGCATGGGCCCGGCATCCGTGGGTGCTGCACAGGGAGGCGTCTTGCGCAGCGCTAGCCACGCGACGAAAGAATTTCGGCATACACTGACGCTCGATACATGACCATGCAGCGAACGGAAGTCGAGGCCATTGTCCGCATCGACTATAGCAGCGTGCGTGCTCGGGCACGGGCGTGGCTGGAAAAAAAACGAGACATAGCAAAAGGCGCTAGCAATGCTTGTGCGTGCTCAGTGGAGCCCGCGGTAAGCGTCGAGGTCGTTGCTGTAATCGATAGACAGCCATCAGCGTGCCGTCCTGTTCCCAGAAGGGGTGAGAAACGGTGGCGTCGAACACGCGCTCGACGGCCGAGCATACGATCTCTTCGCTGGTGCCCGTGAGGCGGGTCCTCTGGATGGCGATGGCCTGGTTGATGGCGTCGCTGATGTCGACGGGGATAAACTCATCGATGGAGTCGGTATGCTCGTTCGGGCGGCTGATCTCGTCCCTTGTGGTCGAGGTGTTGAGCTTGGTCCCGTAGCGCAGTTCCTCCTCAAGCGTGTGGGAGAAATCGCACGTGAACTGCGTGCTCTCGTTCAAGCTCTCCTCGAGGATGAGCTCTGGCACCTTGTCGGTGACGACGGCGGTGTGCGATAGGTCATCTGCATGTCGTAGATCCTGTCGGTCCTCTTGTCGTAGTACAAGTCCTGGCGGAAGGCCAGTGGCAGCACCCATCCGGAAGTGGCGCCGTCGAAGCCGATCGCGGTGCGCCTGAGCTCGTGAGCGCCGCCCGACCACGGGGGCGCACAACGTGCTTCCTCCGCCGAGGTCATGTGGTGCCAGGCCTTCTGACAATGCTCGGCCGGTGCGCGGCGCCCGCGCGCTGGAACACCACACGGCGACATGGCGGTGTGCGGGGTACCTTCGGGCCCTCCGCCTCTGGGGCTGGCGGGAGGGTGTTGCAGAAAGGCCGCTACTCCTTAAGAAGGCCTGAGAGCGCAGCGGCCTTTGATGATGACGATGATGATGATGCTGGTGGTGGTGATGATGGTGATGGTGGTGATGGTGATGACGATGGTGGTGATGATGATGGTGATGGGTGTGATTAGCAGTTCTTGCACTGAAGGGGTCCTAGCGGAGGTTGAACGATTTGGCGCAACCGCCCGGCCAATTTCGGCAGGCGGCCGGGTTCCCTGGTTCCCAGTTCTGGGTTCCCGGGTTCCCGGCTGCTGGTTCTGAGCTGAACTCTGTGGCTGGCGGGTTTCCCGGGCTTCCGGGTTCCTGGGTTCCTTGTCGATCTCCTTAGTGATATCTCACCGTCGACCTCATTACCCACTTCTTTATCAATCTCACAATGGATCGCACTACCGATCTCACTATAGATCGCACGAGCGATCTCACGAGCGATCTCACGATCGATCTCACGATTGATCTCACTATCGTTCTCCATGAATCGACTTCACTGGCGGTCTCACCGTCGACCTTACTATCCTCCTCACGATCGATCTCACTATCGATCTCAGCATCGATCTCACAATCGATCTCTATATCCATATCACTAATTGTCATACCATCCACTGATTGGTGTTTTCTCTTGGTGTAATGGTGCTGATCATCATGATGGTGTTCAGGATGGTAACGGTGATGACGCTGATCATACTTCTACTGCTATTATGCTGGTGATGATGGTGACGATGATGCGATGTGGGTGCTGGTGATAGTGACGATGATGCTGGTGACGATGATTATGACAGTGAGGGGGAGATGAAGGGAATCGGAGGTGCACAGTGAGTGAAATGTTACTCAGAAGCGTGCTTGCGAACCTTCGGGGAGCGCGTTTGATAGGTATCCCCTGTGGACGTCGGAGAGCTCGCGCACACTCATGTTATTTTAATGATGCTGTACGTTATTGCGCTACTTATCGCTTGTACGCGATTTCCGTTCATGCCAGGACAGGTTCGGAAAACAAGCGTTTCGTTTGAGATATCCTCTCACAATCGACATGCCTGAAGCTATTGTTTAAGACGTCGTATGCTAAAAACGAACGTTTTGTCTGAGCCATCATCAGAACATGGTGATGTTGAACTCGCTGGACTACTTCGGAACTTCCAACCATGGCCGTTTGGCCTGAGACACACTCGAAGAAATGGGATGCAACAATCACTGTTTCGAGAGATTTTGTCGGAGCGCTCTTGGATGGTTCCAAGGTGGCCCACGCACTTATTAAACCAATGATACCGGAGAAACATCAATCATAATCTTTGTAAGGCTTTAGGGCTATGGGGCGATAAGGCTATAGGGCTAAAGGCTCTGGGGCTATAGGGCTACATGGCTACAGGACCATAGGGCTATAGGGCTATTGGGCTATAGGGTTATGGGGCTGGTGGGCTATAGGGCTATGGGGCAACAAGGCTATGGGGCTATTCAGGCCATAGGGCTACAGGGCTACAGGGCTATAGGGCTATATATATATATAGAGAGAGAGAGAGAGAGAGAGAGAGCTACCGGGCACCTGGACACCCGGGCACCTGGACACCCAGGCACCCGGGCACACGGGCACCCAGGCACCCGGGCACTGGCACCGGGGCACCCGGGAACCCGGGCACCCAGGCTTGGTTTTAAACTACTTCTGTTAAAACGTAAGCGCTTCGGAAGGGTCACCGAAACCATCAGATTACGATGGAGATCTCGGCGATGCCGATGATGGTGGTAGTGATGATGATGATGATGATGATGATGATGATGATGATGATGATGTTGATGATGATGATGAGGACGGTGATGATGATGCTGATGATGGTGATGATCATGATGTTGATAGTGATGGTGGTGGTGGTGATGTTGACGATGATGACGATGACGATTATGATGCTGATGTTGATGATGGATGATGATTGCGGCGATGGTGGTGACGATGATGATGGTGAGTATGCTGATGTCGCTGGTGTTGCGAAGCCAATGTTTATGATGATGCTGATACTATTGATGGTGCTGACCCTGATCATTGTGATAAGATACTGATGACGATGGTGATGATCTTGCCTTTGCTGTTGCTGCTGTTGATGGTGGTGATGATCATGCAATGCGGTGCTGGTGATGGTGATACTGATGATGATGATGCAGATGATGATAAGGATGAGGGTGATGATGATGGAAATTGTGATGATGATGGTGCTGATGATGACGATGATGCTGATTATAAGGATGATGCTTATGACGATGATGCTGATGATGATGA